CAGCAGGAAAGACTACTGTTGCTGAATATGCCATTGCATTGAGTCAAAAGCATATGACGAGGTAGAGCTGCAAAGTCTGTGCAAACTTTTAATATTGTAATAATATTTAACTATTAATTTCCCAATTGCTATTTTTTCCCATTTTAGAGTGATTTATACATCCCCTATAAAAGCGCTATCAAATCAGAAATATCGCGAGTTTAAGAGAAAGTTTGAAAGCGTTGGATTATTAACAGGTGATTTGCAAATAAATCAAACTGCTTCATGCCTAATCATGACGACAGAGATTCTACAATCAATGTTGTATTGTGCATCTGATGTTTTACGGGATTTAGAATTTGTCATATTTGATGAAGTGCATTATATAAATAATGAAGATGTGAGAAATATTGATTATACTAATTATCCTAAAAACGATATTATTGCGATTAAACAATTTATATTACCCTATATTTACAGAGGGGTCACGTATGGGAGGAAATAGTCATTCTTTTACCACAGACAATCAATATAGTAATGTTATCTGCGACTGTACCAAATCCAATAATATTCGCAGATTGGGTCGGTCGTATCAAGAAGCGAAAAATGTACGTGATTAGCACTTTGAATAGGCCAATACCTCTTCTACATTACTTATACACTGGCACTGATGGTAAGACTAAAGATGATAAGTTTTTGGTCTTTGATGGCAACAGCCAGTTCTTATTAGATGGGTAAATCATTTCTCTTCTTACCTTTACATATATATTTGTGAGCAAAGCAAGTACATAGTATAATAATATTTTATTAATATCAATTTATAGATGGTACAAAGCGACCAATGCATCCGATAAGAAAAAGAATAAAAACCCAAAGGATTCTAGGAGAAGAATTCAGATGACTCCAAAACAAGAAGAAGTATTATGGAGAGCATTTATAAGTCATCTCCAGAAAAATGTAAATTTTTAATAGCCACACTAATTTTTCAAAAAGATTTTGCAGTTATATGCAGTATAACGCCATCCATTTTGCAGGATATGTTACCTGTTGTTGTATTTACTTTGTCAAGAAAACGTTGTGATATGAATGCTGCTACACTGAGAAATCTCGACTTAACAACCGCGAGGGAGAAACATCAAGTGCATGCATTTTTTCACTCTAATATAAAACATCTGAAAGGTAGTGATAGAGAATTACCACAAGTACTTATGATGCAAGAGCTCTTGGAGAAAGGTGTAGGTATACATCATAGTGGGATACTGCCAATTTTGAGAGAAATCGTAGAAATGTTATTCCAAAGTGGAGTTGTAAAGGTAATTCCGCAAAAACATGTCGAAAAGTGATGGGTAGTAATTAAAGAATATTTAAAAGAAAGTCTTTGTAAAATTCTTTATATCGTCTAGACTGAAAATACGTTATTATATAAAGAATTTAGAAAAAGAAATATAACAGTTGTTATTTCATCGCATTTTAGTTACTATTCGCGACAGAAACTTTTGCCATGGGAGTTAATATGCCAGCTCGCACGGTGGTATTTGATTCCATACGAAAGTACGACGGAAACAACTTTCGTATCTTACACCCGACTGAATATATACAAATGGCTGGTAGAGCTGGACGGCGAGGTCACGACACAACGGGAACAGTTATAGTGATGTGCAGGTACGACGTACCGCACTTTAACGACTTGAAACCTATGATGTGCGGCGAGCCGCAGACATTGGAGTCGAAATTCAAAGTCACGTACTCCATGCTCTTAAATTTGAGAAGGGTGAATGAATCCGTCACCGTTGAAGCGATGATGCGCAAGTCTTTCAAGGAATCACCGCTAGCATCACAGGAAGCGACGTATAACAGCGAGTTACGAAAAATCGAGCGAGAATTATCAAATCTGCCGACTTTGACTGAGATGCAGAAGAAGCTCTCTACGTTTTATCACGTGGCGGTCGATTATCTAGAGGACGTTAAATTTTTAAATCCTTATTTGTTCGAATCCAAAAAATTAGCGAAAGCTTTAACCGAAGGCAGAATCTTGCTAATATCATATGCAAATCATTACAACAAATTAGGTCTATTACTGCAAGTCATGCATTATAAAAGTTTCACCCAATACAGAGTGTTGATACTCAAGGACGCGGACGCATCCAATTCCGAGGCTGCTGAATTCAAGAATCTTCAAATATATGAAAAATGGTGTGAAATTATTAGTCTAACGAAAAAAAATATATTTGTTCCAAGCACTAATACATCGCACGAGGTCGTGACTTTATACTCATGGCATATACTGAAGATAACTAAGTGTCAGATAAAAGTCGATTGCTCTTTAGTGCAGAATGATTGGGAAAAGAGGCAAATCTCACGATTTAAGTAAGATTTAAGTAATATAACAAAACAGCAAAAATTCTTAGAATATCATATTTATCCGCTATTTCCTTTCCCTAGAAACGATCCACCGGGGCAGACGTGTCAGACGGCGGTTCAAGAATTAATTTCTCTATCATTTAATGCTGCCGCCAATGATCAAATTCTATGTCCGTATATCGAACTTTTATCGAAAAATGATTTTCAATTAAGAGTACAGCATAGAGACAAATTAAAAGCTGAACTCAACGACATGAGGTGCATGGAAATACCGAATTTCGAAGAACAGTTTAGACCTGTATTCGAACGAAATCAACTCGAAGATAAAAAACGGCAGCTCCAACTTAAACTTAGCGATGAAGGAATGGCGCTGTATCCGGATTATATGAATATGGTGGCTCTGCTCAAACATTTGAGATATATAGATAGCGATGAAAGAGGTTTGTGTATTATGGTAAAAGTATTTCTATATATGTAATAGTGTTACATGTGAATAATATTTCTTTATAGTCTTAATATATTGATTTGCAGTTGGTTTAAAAGGAAGAGTCGCGCTGCAAATGGGTAGTAACGAGTTGTTGATAACAGAGCTGATTCTCAAGAATGTGTTAACCGTTTTACAACCAGCGGAAATAGTAGCGTTGTTATCAGCACTAATCTTTCAACAACGTACAGATTCGGAACCTACACTCACACCGAATCTCGCTAATGTACATGTCGTTAATCTGTCTTTTCTTTCGAATAATTATTAATAAAGATTAAAAAAAATTACATATCGCGCGTGCGCACACGCGGGTGATTACGCATCGAGAAGTTAAAACGATGCTCCTTTTCTTTTAGGGTTGCAAGATAATGAGCGAGGTGCATGCGGAATTGGAACGTTTAGAGCAGCAATATCAATTGTCGATGATACCGTCTTTGAATTTCGGTTTGGTGGAAGTTGTCTACGAATGGGCGCAAGCTAAATCGTTCGCAGAGATCATGAAAATGACGGACGTCCAAGAAGGAATTATAGTTCGATGTATACAACAACTCGGCGAAACCTTGCGAGATGTTAAAAATGCGGCCGTGACTATAGGTGATCCGGTTTTGAAAGAAAAGATGGAGGAAGCTTCGACTGCAATCAAACGCGACATAGTTTTCGCCGCATCTTTATATACTCAAGATTAGTGAGAAGATGAAATATAAAATAATCTGACTTTTGGAGATAGAAAAATGTATTCCTTTTATAAATATAATGAACTGAATACGTACACATTTTTGAAAACGTAATCTATTTGTGAAAAATATTTTGTCCATAAACATATATATATATATAGATATACGATACTTGAAAATATTAATAACTTTTTGATAATAATTGTATAATAAAATGTAACTTTATAATCACACAATTAAGCGACATTATATTATATTTTATTATAAATGTTTGCGGATGTTCAAATACTAATAGTAAATAACTCGTAATAACTGTGCAGTTTGCCAGGATATACTTAATTTTAAACAAATTGTGTTAATTTACAATGCTTATTTGTATAAAATGCCATTACTTTACATTTCTATTAACGACATTATAATGCACGTTGATCTGGATTGTTAAGATTCCCTTGATCTTTATTCAATTCCGAAATACATGCCCATTGTCCTTCGGAATTTTCGCGCCAGAGAGAGACTTTGTTGTCTCCGCCACTAACGGCTAAGATACCGCCAGTCAACGACCAGCTGACGTTCCAGATTACATCGTCGAAGACGTTAAGAACGTTTGGCGTCCAGCTAGCGTAATCGTTAGAAGTCCATACGACCACGCGGCGATCTTGCGAGCAAGATGCCAAGGCGGCTCTAGATGGTCCAACCGCTGGTGCCCAGGCTACATCTCGAACCTGTAAGTTTGATAAAATACACATAGATCCTTATTCCAATACATTTCCATTGCAATATTAAATCATACCCAATCGCTGTGCGCTTCCAATTTATTTTCTTCTATCCATCTATCGCCTTCCTCTTTCCATATTTTCACTAAATTGTCACAGCCACCAGTGGCTAATCTCTTAATAGGACCGCTTCTTTGTTGAGTCGAGTTGGCTGAGTCAACAGCTGAATCGATTGCTGGACACCAACTAACTGCATTGCACCCAATTGTATGAGCATTTGATATTTTTTGGGTCTGCCAAGTATCTCCGGTATTTGTGAGGATAGAGATTGATCCATCCGAGCTTCCGCAAGCCAAGATTAAACCAAACTCGTGCGGCGCCCAGGCAACCGAATTGACGGACGAATCGTGACCCGTGTGTTCGTATATCTTTGTCCATTCTCCAAGCTCCTTCCAGATGATCACTTTTCTGCGCAAACATACATATGTTAAGCTGTTAGATATTTTACATTCAGCTGTTTTAATTAAATTATCGAGTTTATATCCTTAAAAAAAGAATATTTAATAATATTATTGAAAATTTATTTGACATTTTAGGAAAAAGAAATCAAGAATATCAACGTATACCTATCATAGCTGCAAGATGCTAAAAGATTGCCAAATTTGGGATGCGCCCATGCGACTTGCCACACGGGACCGATGTGTCCCTTGAGAACAGCAACTAGGCTCTGAGTGCCGTTCTTTAAATCGAATATCTTCACCGAATTGTCACTCGAGCAAGTAGCTAACCTTAAACCGTATTGGAACATTTCGGCGTCGTG